CTGGGCTTACAACTCTAGAAACTACATATGAAAGAGTCTTGATCCATGAAGTAGGTATGGGTATGTGACTTAGGTGGGGGTTTGATCCTGTGTAAGTAAAAACAATGCCTTCCAGAAAGATCCCTCCATACCATGCCTGTGATCTATAGGAGTGAGATTAAGGGTGGCACCCGGTCTGCCAGCCTTTACTTCTCCTGTTGAAATGCAATGTAGAAGTGTCGGGGGAAGGGCTCTTAGAAACTTAAGAAGATTAAGGCTCTCCTTCCTCATTACAACTTTCTACTTGGCAGATTGACTTGTTATTCAAATAAGTGTGTTGTTATTGAATATTTTTAACCTCTCTTGACTGAATGGGGATGAGGAAAGACAAAGAGTATTGGCATCCATTTAATTTGAAAATAGACAATTTTTTCATGAGCATTAATTTTCTCAAAATGAAATAAAAATCATGAAACTTTTTTTGAGTTTGGGCACTGCACTACTGTCTTCAGTTTCCTGCTTTAAAAACAAAGGAAAACACCCCACAAGATTAGCAGTATAGCGTGATGGCCTGTGTGTAAGCTCACAGCTGACAACTCTCAAAAACTGGACTTTAGGTTCTGAAGAAATCTTTGTAATGACCTAACCACATTCAACCCTGAGGCATACTTGCCTCATTTTGTAGTTGAGGCACCTTGAGGATGGAAGGGATAATATTGCCCATCCAAAGTTACCAATGGTATATTGGTGGCAGGGTCCCAACCTGAATTTGGACATGGACCCTGAACAGTCATTCATTTTTCTTTTTTTGAGATGGAGTTTTTCTCTTGTTACCCAGGATGGAGTGAAATGATGTGATCTCAGCTCAACATAACCTCTGCCTCCTGGGTTCAAGCGATTCTCCTGCCTCAGCCTCTTGAGTAGCTGGGATTACAGGCATGTACCACCACGCCTGGCTAATTTCCTATTTTTAGTAAAGACGGGGTTTCTCCATGTTGGTCAGGCTGGTCTTGAACTCCTGAACTCAGGTGATCCATCCAACTTGGCCTTCCAAAGTGCTGGGATTACAGGTGTGAGCCACTGTGCCTGCCCACACTTACTTTTCTTTCTATTCATAAGGGACCCTTTAGTCACCCTTCATTGCCTTTAGGTGAAGGTCAGTTCCACAGGAAAGTGTGCAAAATGCTTATTATCTGCCACCTGCTGACATGTCTAGTCTTATTGCCTGCTTTGTACATTCTATATCTTCTCCTAAGAATGTGCCTAGCTGTGACCACCCCTCAGTCACAAATTTGTCTTCCTTGTAAACATTTATTGACTTCTCAAGCCCAGATGTCACCTCCACCAAAAAGCCCTCTCTGCCTGCTCCCCTTCCTACCAGTTCGTTTCTCTGGCCTGGTACATTTATTCACTTAATTGATTTATTCAGCAAATATTCACACTGGGTACTGAGCTAAGCACAAGTTATGCACCAGTGAACACAAATGAGGAGCTCTCTGTGCTCATGGAGCTCACATTCTAGGGGCAGACACACAATAAAGGCAGTAAACACCCAGATACACACGTAATTACAACTAGAGTGATGTCATGAAGGAAATAAAGACTGTGCTGGTGTCTGAAGAACCTGGTAGAGGGACAGATGAACATGCAACCCTGTGACTTTTCAGTGTGCATGTCAGTCTTCCCTAGCAGCAGTCCGTGCTATGGGCATCCTGTTCACTATGGGCCTCGAAGAGTGAGGGGAAGAAAGAGAGGTTGGCTGTGCTCCCAGCTGACACCCACCACTGAGATGAAGGTGCCTCCCAATGTGGTGGCTGCCTGGCACTCAGGGCTTTGTTGAGTCAAGAACATGAACACCCACCGTAGTGAGGAAGATGCTTTGTGAAATGTTGACCATCACCTGCGGAGGTCTGTCCTGCAGACCCTGACTAAATGACGGATGATTAAATGCACTCTCACACCATTACAGTGATTCAAGTGGGCTAGGGATGGTTGTCAGCTGCTTCCAGAGGGCAAAATGTAGCCAATCGACCAAGACCCCCTGGACATTCACACATTTATTCTGCAAAGGTTTCACAACAGAGGTTGTAAGTCACCATGCTTATGGATAATTAACATGGTTAAAGGAGTGGTTTTAAGAATGATAAAAGCTTTAAGTTCTGGGCCCAAACTAAACACTGTTAAGGGGTAATTCTCCTTTGATCTCCCCCTGAGAGGACCATCCAGCACAAAGTTTGTGTGAGTAAACGGAGTAGAGACAAAGGGTTGTGGGGTAAACAGACAACTGGGGAAGCCTCTTATACTTTCTATGTCTTTCCTATGCTAATGTAATGGACCAGCTGCCTTCAGCCTGCCCCAATAAAACCTTTCCACCTTCCAAAAGGTTTGAGACTAATCTATAACTTTCCCTAATATTTTGCGAAGCCACCACCCCAAGTGAATTCCAACAACTTTGGAAAGGTAAGGAGATGTGATGCTAGGGATGTGAAGAGAAGCCTCTTTGAGATCCCCAATAAGGGCTGTTTCCCCATAACCTTGATGAGGGCGAGTGGGGTGGCTCATTGGGTAAAATGGTATCGAGGGACATGGATAACAGCCTGATCATTGTTCTGCTTATACCTGCACTCTTAATTCTTGGTGCTTAGGATGAATTACTGGGGTATATTATATTCTCTTTAGAAACTTCTTTGGGAAGATGTGAATAATTTTATAAAAAGTATTTTAACTTTTGAAGCATCAAAAGAAGTAACTACCTCTGTAAAATAAAAGTGTACATATAAAAAGGGAATATCAACATACTACTCAATAATAAGTTCAGAGTAAATGAGGAACATTCGACGAGACACTTTGTTCTTTGGGGTTTATTTTCAATTTTAAGAAGAAACACTTGCTCTTGATATACAGGATTCTTGTGAAGATTTTTTTAAATTGTGTACTTTAAGGTAATACTCATACAGTGTTGGTGGAAATGTAAATTAGTTAAGGTACTGCAGAAATAATTTCGGAGATTTTTCAATCAATTAAAAAATAGAACTACCATCTAACCCAGCAATCCTACTACTGAGTGTATGCCCAAAGAAAAATAAATCATTCTACCAAAAAGATACCTGCACTTATGTGTTTATCACAGCACTTTTCACAGTAGCAAAGACATGGAATCAACCTAGATGCTCATCAACAGTGGATTGGATAAAGAAAATACAGTCCATATGTACCATGAAATACTATGCAGCCATAAAAAAGAACAAAATCATGTATTTTGCTGCAACATGGAGGCAATTAAAGGCCATTATACTGAATGAATTAACACAGAAACAGAAAACCAAATACCACATATTCTCACTTATAAGTGGAAGCTAAACACACAGACATGGAGATGGGAACAATAGACGTTGGAGACTCCAAAAGGAGAAAGGGGGAAGGGAGGCAAGGGCTGAAAAACCTCCTGTTGGGTATGGTATTCACTCTCTGAGTGACAGAAACAATAGAAGCCCAAGCCTCAGCACCACACAATATACCCTTGTAGTAAACCTGCACGTGTACCCCTGAATTGAAAATAAAAATTGAAATATAAACAAATAAATTATAGAGTTTAAATTCTCAAACTGAAATATACTTTCTAAACTCAAACTGTGGTATGAATTAGAAAGATAACTTGCAGCTTTTAAATGAAATATATTTGTTCTTTCTTTTTTTTTTACCCTTTATGGTCAGTTTTGGGAGATCATGAGTTGAAGGCTTGTTACATAATCATCTTTGTTTTCTTCCTTTTAATTCTAAAGGATATGGTTCCTTTAGGTCAAAATGAGACCATTACTTACAGACCCATTAATTATATAAGGGCAACTGTCCAAATCATATGGAATCACTCTCAGAAAATGTATTACTCTATATATTTTAGTCAGTAAAACAAAGATTTTAATAAAATCAAGGTGACAAGTATCCCAAGATGTTTAAAATCTTTATACTTTGTGTAAAGATTTTAATCTTTAATCTTTACCCCAATAAAGATTTTATAAAATTTTTATACTTTATACTTTTAAAGTATTTGTAGCTTTTATTAGGAAGTTTTATTTATATTTATGACATTCTTTTACTTATTCTTTTCCAATTATTAAAAGTAATAGACTTTAAATTGTATATAGGAAACATTAAAAGCTGAAATATGGACAGTCTATTTGGTTTTCTTCTTAAACTTAAAAAATACATATTCTTCTGTTTTAAATGTAATTCTCTTCAAATGTGTCCAGACCATAAATACACATGGAAATACAAATGAGTTTTTACAATGTCTTTGCAACATATTATCAGCAATAAACAAGGTTTTTTTCTGTTAATTATGTGACCGAAAAAAACTTTACAAATATATATAATAACAAAGAAGGTTCTTCATCAGTTTCATGAATTATTATAACAATTTTTTATTCAAAAAAATCAATGATGTAAATACCTGCTTGCCAACATAATGAGAGGTGTGAAGGTGTGCTTCAATTCAAACGATCCCTTCTCCATTGGTGTCCCAAATTTTATTAGTATTTGATTTTCTTGATGTTCAACTTTGCTTCTCCTGGTGAATTTTTTAAAGAAAGTACATTATATTTTGGGAAGATATAATTACATTATCTACAGTGCCTTACTGTGTTTGATTTTAGCCAGTTGCTTTGCTCTTTGGAAATGGGATGTCTGGAAAGACAGGGATTCTGAACGGAGCCAGAACCATGAAGCTGGGTTGCTGTAAAGCCAGCGCTGAACAAGGAGCAGCAGTCACTGATCGTATTGTGCCAATATCCATGTATCTGGGTGGCACATGTGTGTAAGGGGTACATGTGTGTGTTTTGACATGCCAGCCACTTTAGCCTGTCAGCTTTCTCTGTTAAATTCAGCACACCAGTCAAAAGATTTATATCGATCTAATTAATTCGTTCCTTCATTGAGAACCTGAAAATGAAGGAGATGGTTAAATGCTGCCTGAAGTAGAATTAAACAGAATTTAATTTATCCTTCACTGTTGTGTGTTTCAGAGACTGGAGCACAAGGAGGTTTTAGTTGGCTTGTTGTTCCTGGTGTTCCCGTTCATTCCAGCCAGCAACCTCTTCTTCAGGGTGGGTTTTGTGGTGGCGGAGAGAGTCCTTTACATGCCTAGGTAACTATTGCATATGTTTTCTCCTGTGAGACCTGCCCTCTGTTACCAGCATTAATAGTTCCAGAGAGACAGTCTTTTGTGTGTAGACCACTAGATCCTCATGGGACAAGGGAGGTTATTACCTCAGCTTTAAAAACAGCTACACAGAAGGTTGGATGAAAGCAGGTGTGCACACATGTACTCTTGTTTACAGTGGTTTAACCTCAGTAGCAAATTTTATACTTTAAATGTGAAATATCGACTTGAGTATATTCAGGATTTTAGTAGTGATTATTTATCACTACATCTATGTCTACATGTGTTTTATTAAACATAATTAGAATACTTTTCTAGAAATAGTTTTTGACTTGCATAAAAGTATTATGTTCAGTAGCATGATTGTAATTAACTTCTTTCACTCTTTTTTCTTCACTTTAAAAATGGAAGCAATCTCGAGAAAATTTATCCTTGAGAAAAGAAAAAATGATTTAAAAATTAGAGAGGACATTCAAATGTGTGTGATTACATGGTGCCACTTAGCTCTGAATGTTTGCCCTGTGCTGAGGCTTGTCCGTTCTCGTCTTACTTGAATGTGTTTGTTCCAAGGCCACTTTTCTTTTCTGATGCTTGAAAATGTCACTGAATCAGGAGACCAAGCCTTGGTTCTGCCATTTATTGGTTGGATGACCTTGAACAAGACACAAAGCTTTTTTTGCGCCCAGATTTTCTCATTTTTATAATAGGCGTTTTAGTAAACTTGCTAAAATTAACATTTTGGATTATCATACTGCCTTTTAGACAAGTTCATTCTTCTTCTGTAAGTATGAACCTTCCTAAAAGGCAGTATCATAAACCAAAACGTTATGAGGAAATGAGTATTTTTTATGATATTATACTAGAAATTTTAAAACCCATTTATTTAGAAATGAATTTCATAATCATTGATTCCTTCAAAACAAGTACCTAACAGCTTTCTTAAGAATTTGCAGTGTGTGGTTTTGACTTGTTTAAGGGGAAAGCAGCCCTTAATTTGTTTACTGTGTCTTCAGCACAATTTGAGAAGGAGATGAGTGCTTGATGAATCCTATTCAATAAGAACAAAAATACAACATGATTCTTTATATTCTACATGGTTTACGATGGGAGTCTTGTGAAGACTTGCCAATAATAAGGAATATACCTGTAGTATAGAAGGCCAAAAAGTAGCATCAATCTGTATTCAGGATATGTTTTTGCTTAGACCAGTTGAATATGTCTTAGCTTTTCCTTGCAGTATTGGTGATTCCAAATGGAATCATTCTTCATTTGATATTCATAGAGCCCCTCTGGCATAAATGCTCTATTAAAATCTAAAGCTACAAAAATTAGTGAATCTCAGTGTCTGCGCTCAATGAGTTAACTGCAGATTAACAAAATTGAATCTCTCATATTAAGCATTTAATAGGCCCTAATATTTTATAAATACTATTGTATTATAATCATTAATGCTATTTTATCATTAATTGCATTAAAACTTTTGTTGCATTTTTTATTATATTTCAGTCACTATGCTAAGTACGTTCTAATTCACATTGTAGTAGTGGGTCACAGCCTACCCTGAAGCAGAGGGCCTGCATTCAAATTCTGAATTAAATATGATCGTGATTCCTCTCTCAGCTGTATAAAATGGGGATAGTAATAGCACCCAACTCGATGACATATTGTGATCATTAAATGAAATAATTATAGGACCAGTAGTGATGGCTCATGCCCCAGCACTTTGGGAGGCTGAGGAAGGTAGATTATTTGAGCCCAGGAGTTTGAGACCAACCTGGGCAACATGGTGAGACCCTGTCTCTACAAAAAACACAAAAAATTAGCCAGGCATGGTGGCATGCACCTGTGGTCCTAGCTATTCAGGAGACTAAGGTGGGGATCTCTTGACCCCACAAGATTGAGGATGCAGTGAGCCACGATCATGCCACTGCACTCCAGCCTAGGCGACTGAGCCAGACATTGTCTCAGAAAAAATAAATTTAAAAAAATGAGATCATTATATTATAAAACTTAGTGTTTTGTATTATATATGGTCAATAAATACTAAGTATTTTTATTCTTGATATCAGTTCCCTGAGGTAGCTGACAACATTATTGCCATTTTACAAAATTAAACTTGGGCTCTGAGAGGTTAGTTAAGTTGCCCCAGCTGGTATAGCTGGTGAGTGGCAGAGCTGGAATACAGATCCCTGTCTTCTTACCTGCCAGGCTATATTGCTTCCCTGATAGGAATATCTTAATATTCTTCTCAATTACAAAATAAGAAGAAAACCTAAACGTAGTAAAGG